GGGAGGCCTTAATTATCAGGTAACCTTTGACTTAGCATTTGTTTTGCCAAGAGAACAAATGTGTTTCCTTCAACAATTGTCTTCAGCATAGGCCTCTGTTAGACAGCTCGGCGGCTACTTCTCAATTGTATTTAGCAGTGGGCATGGTGCAATAATAAATTACCTGTACTCTTGAGTTTGAACGTTAGTTCGAAGCCGTCACTGGTAAAACCCTACGTCTCACCAATTCATTTTGATGGCGGCCTCTGCTCGCTTCTTTAATTCTCGGAAGACGGAACCATAGGCGCTCAGTATGCAGTTGGCCGCTTTAGCAGTTTGGCCGCTTTATAAACATATTAGTGATGACAATAAAATATAAAGATTCGGATCGCCACCAGTGCCTGTATCTCTCTCGGAGCACAAAATACTAACGGGGCGTTGACTTATCTTTCCGCTTAATGAGCCAAATAAATCTAACAACAAATACGGCTCCCAGTAAGACTCCCAACTTTCTTTTTCTAATGTCTAAGTAGTCGTAGTCATCAATCCAGACTGGAACGTGCGAGGCGAGCCAGTCCGATCATGTGTCTTTATGTGTTTTTTGCAGCTGTGCAATGCAGAAAACGCATATTGGCGAAGGGTTGTCTGTGCGTCCATGTGTCTGTGTGCGTCTGTACCGATTTTTCATCTCAAGACCTATAAAAGCTACAGGGCTGAAACTTTGGGAACTTAATCTACATACACGTACTGGCCCCAATCCCCAAAATGGGCGCCCTTACCCGCGTGGTACCGGTGTACGGGCCCGCCAAAATTTTTTTCGTGTAAGCTCATAACTGGAGGATGTAAGAAGCCAGAAAGCTGAAATTTCAAGGGTATGTTCCCCGTCCAAGCTTTTTAATGAGCTCATACCCAGGCCCCAGGTAAGTGTGGTACCCGCGTACGGGCCCGCCAAAATTTTTTTCGGGTAAGTTCATAACTCGAGGATGTAAGAAGCTAGAAAGCTGAAATCTTAAGGGTATGTTCCCCGTCCAAGTAGGTATTAGTGAGCTCAAACCCAGCCTCCGGGTACGCGTGGTACCTACATGCGAGCCTGCCAAAGTTTTTTCGGG